CGCAGACGTGTTTGTCGGAGACTATTATTCTCTTCTCGAGGGAATGTTGCCTGGTTTTTTCACCGTGAATCGTGGAGCCGTTACTATGACTTCAGATGTTTATATTTTCAGCATTCAAAAAGACTCAAGGAACCCTCATGCCATAAATGTACAATTTGTGGTGAGGAATATTCTGTATTCTGCTGGATTTATGAGTCCAACTGACGTCTTGATCAAGCTGGTGGAAAACAAAGCTTCACTTGAAAACATTGGTAAGAGGATACGAAGCCTTTTCTTTCTTACCTACTTAAGGCAAAATATTACAATTGTATCCAGAAATATATTTAGCAGTGAAGGTCAGTAACTTGAAAGGTGTTTTCTCTTGTACTGAACTTTCAATTCCGTTGTTTTCTCAGTGTTGGTGCAATAGCTTCTAATAAGTTTTCTTTTTGATTTCGATATGCAAAGCATATACTTAAACTTTATTTCTTATAAATTGAAGGTTTAACTATTGGTGCGTTTGGAATTGACAACTGTGCACAAGAAGTCAACAAAACTGGTGTCTGCCAGAACATAGCAAGAGCTGATCATGCGTTCACTGTCATCAACGGTGATTACGGTCAATTTCCAGCACCCGATAGCTCTTTGACGTTTATATCTATTGACATCCAGCTTCGAGCCAAGTACGAGTCTATTTTAATATCACCAACTCGTAAATGCGCAGACAAGCCTTGCCTGCATGGAGGAATATGCCACGATGTAAAACCACACGGTTTGTACTGCCGTCTTTGTTTAAGAGTTCGAGTCAAATGAAATCTTGTTGTGTAATGAGCATAGAAGGGTAACTAATTTTGGAGGCATCAGATCGGTTGTAATTATCCCCTGGGTCCTCTAAGTAATATACTAACGATTCCTAAAGTGATATTAGCTATTTAATTTTCATAATTCCTCTGCTTTTTTGCTCGTTAGTCATCCTGATGTCGTCTTAACCTCGTACTAAGCTCTCCCCCTACGCACACGACGGTGCCAGATTAAACGTAGTCTAAACCGGGAGCATGTGTTTGTTCACAGAGGAGATGGGTTTGTAACTTGCCCGTACATGTATATTTTCAGGCAAAATTATGGTCTAAATTTCCTGTAATAACCAATACCTATATCTACCTCCCTAATACTGGCAGTGGCTTCATTTTAAAACATTCCTATAATGTCGCCAACAAAATTAAACAACCACCTACTTCAAACGAACCTAAGTTAAACCAGTTCTAATGCCGATAACCCGTTGCCTCATCTGTATTTTACTTCGGTCGGGGCTTACATATTTACATTAATTTGGGATTTTGGCATCCTCCCTGACAAGCTCCAACTAACCGTGGATGGCTAACTCGTCAATTTCCTTTTTGTGATTCATGTGTTAATTGTTGTTTGCTCAACCCGATTCAGAAGCTATGTATTTAGATGATATTGATATTTCTATAAGACAATGTGTGAATCAAAGTCATAAGTTGTCGAGGAAGTTTCTCGTCTTCACCATGTGAGAACGGAAGACATGTTGGTAGAGGATAGATTTTTCGCTCGAAAGTGATAAGAAGTAATCAAGACGTTTGAGGACAAAAAAGGCCATGTAAATAACCCATCCAAATGAGTAATTTTGTCACAGTTCTCTTCTTTGAGTTATTCCCTAGCGTAGAGATTTCAACGAGTTTAATTCTTTGGTTTATTTTGCTTAGGATTTATTTGCCAGTGCAAACATAAGCCCGGAGGTCTTGTTACCGGGCTCTTGTGTGAAGAAACGACTCGAACGTTCGAAGGAGGTCTAGGAACTTCTTACATCTGGCTCAAAACGTTGGTGGTATACGAAAGGAGTGTTGTACAGCTAGAATTTACAACATTAGTTGCAAATGGACTTTTACTTTATCAAGGCCCCTTAGAGCAAGGTTTGTGCTATTATCCTTTGCTGGAGGAGTAATAAGTGAAGTTAAAAATCATTTCTGACTTTTTATCTTTTAAAAGACATGTTAGGAGTATCTTATAATTTTTCTTTTTTAATTCTTAAATTATTAACCTTTGGAAGTTTTTAAAATTTTATCTTTTAATATTTAGGCATTTTTATATCTGTAATTTTATTTAATGCAGGGCCCCACTGAAAACCACGTGTGACGCGGGCTCCCTGTTTAAATATCGTTGTTCTTATTATTTTTCATGAGTACCGAGTTGGTAATGCTTCGCAATGATAGGAGGAGCCGATGAAATACACACCGAGAGAAGCAAATACGAACTCGCCACTTTATACAATAAGCTTTAATGTCACACTTTATTCTGTAAAATAATCCCATCTCGCCTGTTTTTATGTAAAACTTACAAATTACTTCTAGGCTAGGTCAACGAGCGAGCGTTGTTTACAAAGAGCATTATTTGCAAATAGCGTCAGAGGAAAATGTACAAGGAAACTTCGAAATAAACTTAATGCCTTATGATACTTTCGGTAAAAGCTCTGACAAAGGCGAAGGCACATAAAAAAAAGGTGTCAGGAGTATATGTACTATCGATCAGTCTGTCGGTAACACTCTTGGCCTCACTTGCTACTAGTGTACTTCGTGACGGCCTTAGAACTCGCAGAGCGTGTCTGGTCTGAAGATAAAGACATCGAAAACGAGGAACAACAACCACCCTGTATCTCTGAATTGAGTCGAGCTGAGTACCTCTCCGACTCGAGCTAAGTTCTTCTCCGATGAAATTCGCGATTGTATTATTCCAGCTTGTACTATTCCAAGTAGTAAATACCTGGCTAGGGCTATTTCGTCAAGTATTATTCCGGCTAACGCTTTTGCAACCGACCTTGTTCTAGTCTTTTGATGAATGTTTTGTTATCCTTCTTTGGACCCTGCTGGCTTTCCTTCTTGGTCAATGAACATTCCTAGCTTTTATTTTATTCAAATTGATTGCGTTTCTACGAGTTATGAAAATTTTCTTTGCAGGTAAAAAATTGCTTGCTAAACGTCTTTGTCATTTACTTTCTTGACAGTCCGTACTGGTGAATCACGTGATTTCATGGCTATTGTGCTGTATGATGGTTTCATCCGTGTGATCATGTCCTTAGGAGCTGAGCCTTTAGTGCTCACTATGTCACGTGGTGTTCGGCTGGATGATGGTGAATGGCATGTCCTTGAAGTACGCCAAGAACTAAAAGTACGGTATATGATATCAGTCGGTTAAAAGTGTTAGCTATATAAAGCGAATATACCTTCAGGCATGTAATTTTTTAAACCAGTTTGAAATAAGCAAAACAATCCCTTGGAAAATGAAAAGCCCATTTTTCATTTATCATTCTTTCAAAATAATTCTCTGTTTATTATTGCCTTGAATCCCCCCCCCCCAAATCCTTCATAACTAGCTATTGATTGACTAAACTTTCAAGTTTTTTTTTTCAATACTTTTGAAGATGAGTCACTTTTAAAAATAAATTTCAATAAAGGGAAAGGAAAAGGCTTAATAGTTCAGCTGTTTGATAGAGCTGGAGAAAAGTTACAAAGGCTTTGCGAAGACAAAATAGTCGAGCTACTGCGTAATGACATAGCAAGAACAACAAAATAACACTCAACGGGTGACAACTTCCATTCCAAAGAATATACGCTAGCCTACCCCTTTATATCCTTATTAGCCGAGAAATATTATGAAGAGGGGAACATGATATCAATCAGGCTAATTGGATTGGGATATCGTATGTTATGAAAAGTTATGCCGATATCGGGGAGTGTTATCCACCGAGATAGAAGGCCGAGGTGGATAACACCCTCAGAGATTCATAATGCTTTATATCTAGTCAGCCTCATTTATTTTTTGCTAATTTTGACAATAATACTGTTTACCAAAGGTGATAACGGTAATTGTGGACCGCTGCAAGAACGCTCAGTTACTCAAATTAGGTGATGACCTGGTGGAAGATGAGAGCAATTGCAAGATTACAGGAAAGATTAGAGGCACATACTAGTAAGTATGACCTTACGCGTCTTATTGTTGTATAACAAACATGGAGTTGACTTCTTATGCAAGGGGAGGAAGATCATTTTCTAGACTAACTTCAAGTAAGTTTGTTCCCGATGTTTTGAAAAGCTTCCTGCTTCTTATTTTTACACTTAAGGAGACTTCTAACAGTGATAAGCTTCGGTTTACAGAACAGGAGGCCGCGGGTTCAAACCATAGCCGGATCAACACTTTGGTTGTTCTTAAATATAAGATAGGAGAAAGTGCTGCCTTTGTAATTACATCTTCAAACGGTTAAACATTATTAACTCGGATAAGGATGACAAACCGTAGGCCCCGCCTCACACATGGCGACAAATTCGGGACAGGCATACGCAGGGCATTTCGCTTTACAGATAAGTGACTTCTCCAGAAGGCCAAGGGAAGTCCAGTTCAAGCGTTATACTTCCCGTCAGAATTCATCGTATCCTCTAGTTTCTATCCCTTACGTGAACGATAAGGTGCTTGCTTTCAGGTCGAGATAAAGTAAACATTTGTAGATTGTAATCAGCTGCGGTCGTCAGGGGTAAAAACATGTTAAATGTCAGTAAACATACACAGCCAAAACTACGATATTTGATATGGTATTTTTCTGCCAACAGTCATTCAGATTTCCTGAAAAACACATAGTTCGCAAGAAAATTTTGTGTCCTTTTGATCGCTTTTAAAAAATTTGTACAGTATTTTGGATCAGCAACCTTTATTTAAGCGGAAACATAGTGTTCTTTTACTCCATCACCTGGTTCGACCGAGACCAATTAGCCCGTGTCATGCTTCTTCTTGCAACGGATCCAACCAATATCGAGAGCTGTCCGTGAAAAAGCATTTCCCAGTTTTCTTGCCATGAACCCAGGCACACAAAAGAAACTCTGGGGGCCAGTCACTATTAGTAAATAGTAGGCGACACTATTAATCTGGCTTATGTCCCCCAACCAAAGTTGTAACATAGTCCCGACAAGGCTGAAGGCTCAAGCTTTACAAATCATTCTTACGTACTATTCTTACTTTCTTCTTTCAGTTACTTGAACAGTCTTTGGCCACTTCAGATCGGAGGTGTAGAAAATCCTGGCCTTGCTTATCCTAATCTCAACTATACAGGTTTCAATGGCTGTATACGAAAAATAACCAACAATGCCCACATGTACGACCTCAAAACACCACTGAAGGTGGTAAATTCGCCTGAGGGCTGCAGCAAGGCCAGAGGATGTCCGGACTGTAAAAACCACGGCTACTGTGAACCTTATCTAACAAAGGAAAGTGTGTGTGTCTGTGACGTCGGATATCTCGACCCGAATTGTCAAAATAGTAAGTTTAGTTATAGAGAGAGCAAATTACAAAACTTCCAGAACCTTGCTTATAAAGTTCATCTTTCTTAATCTGTGTTAAGTTAAAGCGGACACATTTTCCTTTTCAGAAGTTCGATTATTCGGTGTTTTAGAATAAGTTTCTCTCTTACGGTTTGTTGCTCGACTCCTTAGTTCCCTTGAATTGTTTACCCAATCTCCTGGAAGTTAAGAAGTACAAAAACGCATAAAGTCAAGAGTTTTCCATACAATTGAAATTACGAGAAATTTTGGCTTTGAGGAATATTATTTAAAAACGCTATCCTTTTAAGTCCGCACTCTACAGATTTGGATATTAGGTGCACGACGATACGATTACAGATAATTACGGTTGAATACTGCCAAATCTTCTTGGACAATTTTTTTTTACCAAGAAACATAATCAAAATTTGCATTTTCTTTAAAAGCTGCGGCTGGTAATTACTATTTGGAAAACAGTTNAGCAAGGCCAGAGGATGTCCGGACTGTAAAAACCACGGCTACTGTGAACCTTATCTAACAAAGGAAAGTGTGTGTGTCTGTGACGTCGGATATCTCGACCCGAATTGTCAAAATAGTAAGTTTAGTTATAGAGAGAGCAAATTACAAAACTTCCAGAACCTTGCTTATAAAGTTCATCTTTCTTAATCTGTGTTAAGTTAAAGCGGACACATTTTCCTTTTCAGAAGTTCGATTATTCGGTGTTTTAGAATAAGTTTCTCTCTTACGGTTTGTTGCTCGACTCCTTAGTTCCCTTGAATTGTTTACCCAATCTCCTGGAAGTTAAGAAGTACAAAAACGCATAAAGTCAAGAGTTTTCCATACAATTGAAATTACGAGAAATTTTGGCTTTGAGGAATATTATTTAAAAACGCTATCCTTTTAAGTCCGCACTCTACAGATTTGGATATTAGGTGCACGACGATACGATTACAGATAATTACGGTTGAATACTGCCAAATCTTCTTGGACAATTTTTTTTTACCAAGAAACATAATCAAAATTTGCATTTTCTTTAAAAGCTGCGGCTGGTAATTACTATTTGGAAAACAGTTACTCTCAGTATTCTGTAACATCGTGGGGAGCTTCATCCTTCTCATCATCATCATCATCATCATCATCATCATCATGGTCGTCGTCATCGTCGTCGTCGTCGTCGTCTTCGTCTTCGTCTTCGTCTTCGTCTTCGTCGTCTTCATCGTCAACGCTATCAAGGCGGCGACGTCTTGCTCTCCCAGTCCCAGCACCCCAACCAATAACCAGTGAGTATTTCACTGACATTGCGCTGAAGATCAAGGTTAACCCTGGAATGAACAGCAGTCTGATATTTCTGTCGACTAACAGCCTTGGAACCGAGTTTGTCAGGGTTGATGTAAGTTGTCTGTAGATATAGGCCTCTTGTAGTCACGAGAGCTCCCTTACGCAAATGTTAAGGGGAAAAAACTCAAGCTATATCAGAGGAGGAAAGCAATGTGAAAAATAGTTACGAGGCCAATTTTATGTGACCGACATATAATTTGTGGGGGTTGGAAGGTCTGGAAAATTATTAGGCTTTGTATCCAAAGAATTTGCTCAACCACAAGGCGTGCCTACCAACAACTTTTTCAATTGATACGTGTAGTACTTTTCATTATTCAAACCACATAAACACCAATTTCACTTCTTGAAAATTTAAAACTTAGAATTTAGAAAAGCCATTATGTTTTCTGTACACTTTCCATTTCTGTAATTTTTAGACCTTCAATACATAGTTCTGGCCCGAGAAAGGTCACGAGATCCCAGCTTTATAAGGCCCTCTTCCAGTTGCATAAAGGCGTTTTGCATAAGGCTTACTTCCAGCTGCATAAGACCCATTTATTCTATTTCTTTTTAATCATCAATGATTCGATGTTTCCTTTGCTAATATTCAACCTCAGTAAACAGAACCTTCTTCTAACTTATCTATTTACTATTAAGAACAAGTCCTTTTAGAGGGCCTTTTACCCTCTCCTTACATTCATCACAATGAATATCTGGAACTGTGTGAAACGCTCCCCGTAAGTATGTGTCAGACTGTCTGGACTGTAACATTACGACATGATTTCTGTGGAAAACCATCTTCAGTATTACGCCTAATATTTTCCTCCAAAAACAGTTTCAACGTTTAGAGTAGCCGAGAACTTGCCACTCTTCTTAGTATGTAATATAGTAAAAACGCCAGACTAAGAACCTGGTTTTTAAGAACCTGTTAGGCTACATTTTGCCACTTAGGCCCCCTCTATACAAGAACCTGTTGAGCATAAAATTTGAAACAGGCTCTTACTTTCTCAATCTATTTAAACAAATTATGTACACTTGGGCAAATAAGAAAAGTCAGCATTCAGGATCCTTTTTGGAGCCATATAGGTGCTTTATTACTCCAACTGCAATTGTAATGGTATATAAGTTTAACCCAAAGTCAAATGAGGTGAATACCACTAACCTATTTAAGGTGATTCCCTAGTTTTGCACTGCGCATCTCTTACTGCACATAACAAGATGGCCGCCGTAAAAAAGAACATGTGAAGTAACATTATTAAAATGAAGTTTACTGAAGAGAAACGGTATTGGCATTTTTGCTTGCGGTTGTTTCTTGCCGAGGTTAGACTCAATGTGTTGGGAATATGCATAACGTAAGCAGTAAGCGTATTGCTGAGTTCGACTTCCTAAGAGAGGATCTCGATAGTGGATATTTAACTTGTGCTTACTCACTTTGATTTTCATTTAAACGCTTTCTTTATCACATTGTGTCCTAAATGTGATCCCTCGATGTAAATTCTGTAAAAACGGTTTTTTAATACTGTCTTCCCTTTTCACATACATTCTATTTTGAAACTCGCCCCAGTCTTCTCTCAAAAATAGGAGAAAATGCATTTGGTGCGCACTTTCTGCAGCTCTACCGCAAAAACGAGTACGGTGACCCCCATTTTTTATTTCATGATTTTAATAAGGACAGTGCAGGGGCGGATCTAGGGGGGGGGTACAGGGGGTGCGCACCCCCCCCCCCCGCTAGAATTGACAACTGTGCACAAGAAGTCAACAAAACTGGTGTCTGCCAGAACATAGCAAGAGCTGATCATGCGTTCACTGTCATCAACGGTGATTACGGTCAATTTCCAGCACCCGATAGCTCTTTGACGTTTGTATCTATTGACATCCAGCTTCGAGCCAAGTACGAGTCTATTTTAATATCACCAACTCGTAAATGCGCAGACAAACCTTGCCTGCATGGAGGAATATGCCATGATGTAAAACCACACGGTTTGTATTGCCGTCTTTGTTTAAGAGTACGAGTCAAGTCAAAGCTTGTTGTCTTATGAGCATACAAGGGTAACGAATTTCGGAGGCATCAGATTGATTGTAATAAGCCCCAGGGTCTCCTGATTAATATACTAACGATTCCTAAAGTGATATTTGCTGTTTAATTTGCACAATTTCTCTGCTATTTTGCTCGTCACTGATCTTAATGTCGTCTTAATCTTATACTAAGTTCTCCTCCTACGCACACAACGGTGCCAGGTTAAACGCAGTCTAAACGGGGAACATGTATTTGTTCACAGAGGAGATGGGTTTGCAAGTTGCCCGTACATATATTTTTCAGGCAAAAGAACGTTCTAGATTTCCTGTAATAACCAATACCTATATCTACCTCCCTGATTCTGGCAGTGGCTTCATTTTAAAACATTTCTATAGCGTCGCCAACAAAATTAAACAACCACCCAGTTCAAACGAACCTAAGTTAAACTAGTTGTAATGCCGATAACCCGTTGCCTCATCTGTACTTTACTTCGGCCGGGACTTACATATTTACATTAATTTGGGATTTTGGCATCCTCCCTGACAAGCTTTAACTAATCGTGGATGGCTAACTCGTCAATTTACTTTGTGTGATTCATGTGTTAATCGTTGTTTGCTCAACCCGATTCAAAAGCTATGAATTTTGATGATATGGATATTTCTATAAGACAATGTGTGAATCAGAGTCATAAGTTGTCGAGGAAGTTTCTCCTCTTCACCATGTGAGAACGGAAGACGTGTTGGTAGAGGATAGATTTTTCGCTCGAGAGTGATAGGAAATACTCAAGACATTTGAGGACAAAAAAGGCGATGTAAATAACCCATCTAAATGAGTAATTTTGTCATAGTTCTCTTCTTTGAGTTATTCCCTAGCGTTGAGATTTCAATGAGTTTAACTCTTTGGTTTATTTTGCTTAGGATTTATCTGCCAGTGCAAACATAAGACCGGAGGTCTTGTCACCGGGCTATTGTGTGAAGAAACGACTCGAACGTTCGAAGGAGGTCTAGGAACTTCTTACATCTGGCTCAAAACGTTGGTGGTATACGAAAGGAGTGTTGTACGGCTAGAATTTACAACATTAGTTGCAAATGGACTTCTACTTTATCAAGGCCCCTTAGAGCAAGGTTTGTGCTATTATCCTTTACTGGAGGAGTAATAAGTCAAGTTAAAAAACATTTCTGACATTTTATCTTTTAAAAGACATGTTAGGAGTATCTTATACTTTTTCCTTTTTAATTCTTAAATTATTAATCTTTTAAAGTTTATCTTTTAATATTTAGGCATTTTTATATCTGTAATTTTATTTAATGCAGGGCCGCGCTGAAAACCCACGGGCTCCCTGTTTAAATATCGTTGTTCTTATTATTTTTATTGAGTACCTACTTGGTAATACTTCGCAATGATAGGGAGAGCCGATGAAATACACACGGAGAGAAGCAAATACGAGCTCGCCCCTTTATACAATAAGCTTTAATGTCACACTTTATTCTGTAAAATAATCCATCCCGCCTGTTTTTATATAAAACTTACAAATTACTTCTAGGCTAGGTCAACGAGCGAGCCTTGTTTGCAATTTCAATTGACCTTCATCATAACGGAAAAACTAGCTTTTACTCTAATCTCATGAAAATGGTTGACTACTATGATCTAAACTATGACTTTTCCTGTAATTCATTGAGTGACTCAATAGTTAATAGGTATATCGGCATAATGAAAAATAAATACGTCTCTTACTGGAATCAGACCCTTCAACAATCACAAAAACTCAGTTTTTATTGTACAATCAAAGACGACTATAGCCCCTCGCCGTACCTAGTTTTAACAAGAAAAAACCCTTCGAGAAAAGCATTAGTTAGATTTAGAATAAGTAGTCATCAACTTAGAATTGAAACA